TAAATAAAGAGAATATTTAACAAATTAAAATTAATTTATAAAGCGATAATTTCAAAAATTATAATTAATTATTTAAAAATTTACAAAAAAAAATTAAAATATCATTTATACTAAATAATTTTTAAATAGACTTAACCATCGTACCAAGTCACCATATCCACAACCACAATGCTGTAGTTTCATATGACAAAATTGGCCAACTCAGCCTCGAATATCTCTGGTATATTATCCATGAGATGGAGACAGTGGAACGGCTTTGCCTGCACGTCATGGAATCTGGACCATACACGTGGCATGCAATTTTTGACCTTCTCGTGAATTTATCAGCCCATCACAAAATTATCATCAACTTCAACCTGCCGCGAAAGCCCTGCCAAACTTCTATCTTCTCTTCCAAATTTGCCCTTTTGTAATTATTTGACTTTCTCAAAACTTTCCTTGATTTTTCTTTATAATAAATGCTAATTTTATTTTAAAACATGTTGTTGAGAAGAGGCTTAATGTGTTATCACATAATATATCAATGATTTAAATAATTCAGTGGTTATATTCTTTTACTAAAAGTAAAAAATTTTAAATTCGACTCACATGACATGTAAATTAAGTGAAGTAAGAGATAAAAGATAATTATCTCTCATTATACAACTAATATAAAAAGTATATATATATATATATGTCATCACACAACCAGAGATATTGGGGTTGTTTGATGAATCTTACTTTCTAAGAGTTATTTATAAGGAAAATTTTTTCTCAACAATTAAAATTTTTTTTAAGAAGAAACTTAGTTTGTAAAAAATATATATTTATTTATATATATATATTAATAAATAAGTTATGTAAACTAATAACCTACTTCTATCACTTTTATTTTCTTTTCCGAATATTAATAGTAAAGGTGTAAATTCATCTCAATTTTTAATTTTTTTTAGTTTTTATTATTAATCAAATGTGTTTAGTGACTAAAAGATGTTTGATGCATCAATTCTTAATTTATGGTCTTTTTGAAACTAAAATGTTTTTGAAAGAGTCTACTATTTTACCAATATAATCTGAATTATAAAATAAATTTATGTTTTAAAAATATAAAAAAATTTAAAATAATTTTTAAAAATCCATGTTTTAGCCTAACTTGTGGATTTTGATGGCCCAGGGCAAGAAAGTAATTTCAGTTTCCCCAAGTTCACGGTATGTATAGTTGCCGCGTAAATTTTCATTTTTTTTTTTTAATTACCACTAACCAACGTAGACCTCCCTTATATATCCGTGCCGTCTGGCAATTTTCTCCCTTCATACTTTCTCTCCAAGATTTTCTCCGAGAAAACCACTTTCTCGGACTTTCCCAGATTTTCTCAATCCTAATTCCCACATCTCAGAAAACCCCAAACCATGAAGAAATCAGAACTCTTAGCCGCCTCCGTCGCCGCTGCCTCTGCCACTGCGATCTCTGCTTCTTCCTCTTCCCCAAGCTTCTCTCGCAATCCCAATTTCGAGGCTTCAACTGAGGTTAGTCTCTGAATTTCACTTCTGGGTTGCTTTTTTTGCTTCTATTCTTTGGATTAGAACTGGGTTTGCTCGATTTTCTTCTTATAATTCTTTTAGTATTAGTTTCCCCTGAATTATGCCCTGTTTGGTTGCCTAGAAAATGTTGACAAAGAATTGGTTTGCAACTTTCAATTGAAGGGTACAAAAAGCAGTAGTTTTTTAGTTTTCTTATCTTTGGATGAGAACTGGGTTTCAACTTTTACTTCTTATACGTTCTTGCCTAGATTCCACCCTGTTTGGCTGCCTAGAAAAAAATGACAAAATTGTTAATTCAGTTCACAACTTTCCATTCATAGGTATGGCAGAAGAAGATAAACGTTTTTCTTTCTTTTTCTCTAGGCAACGAAACAGATTTTTTTCTTACTGTTTGGTTGTTTCTGGGAGAGTCAATTCTTTGTCCTTTCTCTGTCCGACTGTTATTTCTGAAAAATTAAGGCAAACCCTTTTGTAAAAATTCAGTATAACATGCTTCTATGTGTTTGATTTGGTAGGTTAAGAAAGGTGAGGAAAATTCTGGGGTCAAAAGATCGGCTTCGAGGGATAAATTTGCACCAAGGTTCGATGGACTGAGGTTCATTGAAACATTGATCACTGCTCATAGATAAAGCTTGGCCTTTTGGCTTCATTTCACCAAAACTTTAATCTTACCTTTTGAAGGCATCTATTTTTGGCCCTTCTACATAGTTTTTAACTTTCAAGAGAAAAAGTGAGAAATGTAATATTAATCTAAGTTTTTGTACCTTTGATTTTAACAGAATTAGGTTCCCTTCTTATGTCCAGGGCTTTTTCTTCTTTTCTTGAAAATTTCGACTTGTGGACGTGTGGCATTTTAGAGAAAAAAAAGATGTGTATAATTGAGTTACCAGGATTCAAAGCAGATGCATTATATTCCCTTCTAATGTCATAAGTTGTATACTCTTTAGAATTGTTGATATACTATATAAGTTTATTTTATAAAATATGAGTTATTAGATGGATCCCATTCAATAATTAATATTACTGTTATCAAAACAGTATAGCATTTTTTTCATTATATATATAATGGAGGGATTCCCCTTCCTTTTTTTCAAATTCATCTCTAACCATCTCAAAGTAGGAATACTAATTTAGTCGTCGCCATATTCCAGCACCCTTCTCAAGTGGGGGACACGGACACCCCCTTAGCAGGTCATGAGTTCAATCCAGCGCACTTCCCCTTTAAAAAATAAAATAAAATAAAATAATTGTCTCTTTCAAAGAAAAAAGATATTCTATGCTATAGCAAATTTGGGGAGTGACAATTTGGGGGAGGTGTTCTATGCATTTAGCTGATAAGCAAGGTACAAACTGTTACCACAAAGATATGATACAAACTAATTGCCAAATTATTCAGAACTTCGTTATTTTTGGCAAAGTTAGAAGCTTTCTTTTTTGTTAAAAAATACATCTTGAGATTTTCGTTTTATACATATACACAGTAGTAGATAATCATTCTATTTAATAAATTCTTCATCATTATTCTCAAAAATCGACTCGAGTGACATCAAAAGTTCCTACATAAAACATACCAAGCATTAACACTAAGGAGATCTAGTAAGGGACAAGATGGATTCAGATTTATTGAGAGACTTAAAGTTCAAACTTTACATTCCCATCAAGTAGACCATTTGCTTGAAGGAAAAGACTTTAAAAAAAATACTTTTCTTTTCGGTGTTTTTTCTATTTACTAAAGTGTTTTAGATTTATTAACGATTTATTGGTTTAAATAAAAAAAACTCGATTTTCAAGATCTCAAATTTAAGTGTTATGAATGAAAAAATATAAACTGAAAGAGTTTCCCTTTAATTGGCCTGATGTGATTCGATTTTAAATTAATCAAAATTTAATGTAGTTAACGGATACGAAGATATTAATAAAAAAAATGTTTTAGATTTCAAAAACATCAATTTGGAGAGTTAAGATGGCATGTGATACACTCTAACTTCTAAAAAAGGTGCGTTGATGCGGTGATTTGGACCTCTAAAATTAGTTGAAATGAACGTGTAACATCAACATAAGTTGATAGACCATCTGAAGGTTTTTTTTTTTTTTTTTTGGAACAAGGGAAAATGTGGGATGAAAATCATGGAATGAAGAAAAACAAAGAAGAAATTAAGAGAGTTCTATTCATTTTAGACAAAGCAACTCTTAACATCTACCAAAATTTATTTAACGTTCTCTTTAAAAACAGAATAATTTAACAACTTGTTTAGGTATGGACCATTTGGAGTTTTTTGTACGCTACACTTGAAATTAGCATTTAAGCTCACTTTTCTCTGGCTTTGCTCCCATTGCCATTCCCTTTCTTCTTGATTGTGATGTTGATTTTTATTTTGAGGGGGGTCAGCTTCTTTCGGTGAGGGAACATCCCTCAGACCTTTTCCACACCTTTTGCTTTGCAATATACCCTTATCTCTTGCCTCCTGGCCAAAAGTATGACCTACTTTGAATTATAGCAGCTGGCCAAGACCAAATGGTGTATTGCATAATTTTATTGGAGAAATTAATCAGGGTATGTTGCAACCATATTCTACTTACAGACAGAAACTGTAAATGCGGTATCTAATATTGATTTGGAAGATTAATTATTACAGCAGAATGTTTTTTCTTGGTTCAAACCCTTGAACATACCCTTGAATCAATATTTTAAGTTACAAGATACTAATTTGGCTAATTGCTATATATATCATCCAACAGTGTTTGAACAAATATAGAAATAAACTAAAATGTAAAACAAAATTCGAAGATTGGTTCAATTCCTTACTTGAAGATAAAGTTGTTCATAAGGATTCCTTCGCATTTATTTGTTCATTATTGCCTTATCTCTTCATAATATACTGGACAACCATTGCCATCTTTCTTGAAAATGACTAACCTGAATTCAACATTGGACCCCATTTCTTTATCATTACCGACACAGATTCTGAAAGTTACTCTTCATGTAAGATCACAAGGCATGTCATTGGGGTAATGCCGCTATAATCAAGCAATTTATTCATGATTTTTTTGTTTATAGAGAAGCTTCACTGAGGTTACGGCGTTTGGACTTTGAAGGCAATTAAGAAAGTAAAAGATTACATTTATATCGCCCTCTATATATAGCAACTTTTTAATTAAAGAATGCTAACAATTAGCATACAAATTCAATGAAACATCAGAAGAAATCAATCTTTTTGATGGAATCATTGTTGATAAGACGAATATGGGTATCCATATCTGATCTTAAAGAAAATATTGGAAGAATAAGACTATGAATCCAGACGCAAGCATTAGAAACGAGGACTTAGTGGCTACAGAAACTGCAGCATTATTAGTTTTTCCTGTATCCTTACATTCAAGACCATACTGTCCTTCGCGGCACAGACTGGCAAAGAGGCCAGGAGGGTATTTCCCATAGAGATTGATGTAGCTGAACATGGTCGAGGCACAATTATTGGAGAGGTCATTGATGTCCTCCGAGAAAGGGCAGGCAAATTCCTTGAGAGCTTCACAACAAAGGTTGGCTTGGTACTGAGGTCCCTTGCACTTGGTTGTCACAATTGTGTAGTTCTGACGCTCAAAGTCTACGGTGCATTCTGTAATTTCATGAAATGGAAAAACAATATGTATCATCTCAATTCTCAACACTTTTTGAAAACTAATTCATTCAATTGTGAATGCAACTAGATTTATATCTCACAACATTTAGTAATATATTTAAGCTAAATGAAACAAGATCAACCTAGCACAAAATTATCATGTCATATTATAATATTATCATACTTTCTGCTTATAATATTTTTTAAGACAAATTCTTGATTTTCGAATTGAGATCCATTATATAAATTTAAATAAAAAATGAATGTCAATAAAAAAAAAAAATTCCTACTACAGGATTGGCATACCCTTTTTTGCTTGCAAGAGGTTACGTCCGACAATTCCATGAGATTCAAAGACATTATCTGCATTCAAATTAGACATCATGTTGCAAAAAAAATTTTTTTTTAAAAACCCAAATAAAACCTAATTAAAAAAATTCAATAGAAATGAGAAATGAAGGATTACTTGAAATGTGGGTGGAAGAAGATGCAAATACAGCCAGGAGGAAGAAGAAAAAGAGATGCAGGACGCTTCGATTCAAA